ATGGTAATTTAGTTAATATATATATATATATATATATATATATATATGTTTTAGAAAATGACTTGATTTTTAAAATTAAAATAAAATAATTTAATTTCATCAAAATTTAGTTTATTTGTTATAATTATTTGATTTTATTTCCTCGCTTATTTTTTAATGAAAATTTTTATTAAGTTCCGTTTCTTTCTATACTAGTGGCTAGGGATTGAGTTTGACATAAAAGTAGCAATATCTGAAAAAGATGGCCTAAAATATTCTCTTTCAAATCTGATGAAAAAGTTGCATGTCCACAAATTAAACTTGTCTTGGTCTAGTGGTCTATATCCTCACCTGCATACGATGTACCTTGCGTTCTTTGCTGTGCTGAGTGAGGTATATATAAGCTCACTGCTAAATTTATGCTTCAAAGTTGAAAATGGCCCTACATGTTTCCATTTCAACGAGGACAATGACTCATTCTTACCAAAGTAACTATGGCAAAACAATAGTATTTGTCCATAATCATTGTTTTGACAATATGTACAAGTCCTTTTAAAAGCGAAGCCAATGTATTTTGTTGCTAAAAGTCTTGTTTTCAGTTGGTGGAATCACTATTTATAATCAATAATTCTGGGAAAACAAAGTCTGCGATCCAATATGCACATAATTCCTACATGATTAACGAGCACACCGCCACAATAATATTCTTTATCACAACAAGGACTATAAAATTGATAGCAAATTTTCTAATCAGTGCATGCATGTTCTTTGTTTTTTCACATACAAATTTTTTTAGAGATAATAATTTTCAGGACATTAATTATCGGTGTCGGAGAAAAAGAATTCAAACTTTAATTTTCCATATTGTAGGAGGAGATACGCCTCTTCCGTTAAACTCAATCTCCGGTGATATGTCTTAGTACATGTTTCATTTAATTATTTTGATTATTTTAGAATAAAAAAATTTAGAAACTTTTTAATAAAAATGTGTTTGGAGTACGTGTTTCAAAAAAGTATTGAATGAAAATTATAATTATTATATTGAAAGCATCAAATTTATTTAATCTATTTTTGAGTAATTGGAATTACTTAATAGAGTATACTAAAGTTTCTTTATTGATAGGGATGCGATCATGCGAATCAAATCTTGGTGTGGAGGTACATTTCATATTATTTTAATTAGTGATCTTTTCATCCTACATGCGTTTTTTTTTCTTTTTGAAAATTAATTAATGTTTAGATTAAAGTATTAGATATACTAGTATTATTTATGATTTCTAGCGTTTGTATTATTTTGTTAGTGTATATATTTGGTGTGAAAATGCATTAGTTCGTGTCAAGATTAACCATTTTGATTGAAATTAACACTACAACAAAATGTGTTTTTTAATAATATTAAAAATATTATTAAATTATGAATAAATATTATTAATATATTTATAAGATATTTTATCAAATGTAAGATAAAATCTATATTATTAAAAACTTTTAATAACATTTTACATATTAATGATATTATTTTTTAAAAAGTTACCAAAGTAATATTTTGTAACATTTTAGTAACGTTGCTAAGCTTGTAAACTTTGTAAAAATAATAAGTAAATTATATCATCACTTATATTTTATGATTCTTGTTTATAAGTCATTTAAGGTTTAATATATCTTAAGTTTTTTTTTAAAAGAATATATTCTAAGTTAATTACAATCAAATTTAAATCACATATCAAAATTTAATTATCTTAAATTTTACTTTATGATTATATATATATATATATATAT